GGCCTGGTTGTCGATCACATCGCCATGCACATGCGCCAGGGCAGGGAGGGAGGAGGCGTCGGGGTCGCGGTCAGACTGGGGCGACAGTGTTTCTTGCTCACGGGCTCGTCAAAGTCTGTGATGTTACGTCAATCGTCATATCCAGATCCGTCTCCAGAAATCCCAAAGCTGCAGCCATGTGCGTATAATATATATATACACCGAGGCGGAGTCGTGGACATCTCTTGCTCTCCAGTTTCGTGCACCGCGTCTGTTGGTTTAGCGACGAGCGCACTACAAAAAAGAGCTTTCACGGGAAGGGGGCACTCTGCGCAAAATGTGTAATGCATGGTTTGTTGCTGACTCGTCAGGGCCCCGATGGAGCTAGAGCGCACACAGGATATGCATAACGGGATAGTCACGCGGCGGAGCATCAGGCGCACAGGGCGCCGAGCGTCACACCGCGCGCGCCCTTGCTCTCCGACCCCCGTGCACACACACGCAGCGGAACGCGTCCAACGCACGCCCCCAAAAGGGACAGCGAGGCCGCGACAGCCACGCGCATGCCGTCTCGAGGCCGTACGCCCACTGAGAGAGCGCCCCCGAGGTGACAGGATCGCGTAATGAAGGCAAAGGGGAGAGGGTGAAAGAGAGGGAGGGTCGGTGCGACGATCAGACGGGGCGTGAAATAACGCTGTTTTCATTGCTGTGTCAACGTCCATCTGCGACGGCTTTACATCGGCCTGGTTGTCGATCACATCGCCATGCACATGCGCCAGGGCAGGGAGGGAGGAGGCGTCGGGGTCGCGGTCAGACTGGGGCGACAGTGTTTCTTGCTCACGGGCTCGTCAAAGTCTGTGATGTTACGTCAATCATCATATCCAGATCCGTCTCCAGAAATCCCAAAGCTGCAGCCATGTGCGTATATATATATATACACCGAGGCGGAGTCGTGGACATCTCTTGCTCTCCAGTTTCGTGCACCGCGTCTGTTGGTTTAGCGACGAGCGCACTACAAAAAAGAGCTTTCACGGGAAGGGGGCACTCTGCGCAAAATGTGTAATGCATGGTTTGTTGCTGACTCGTCAGGGCCCCGATGGAGCTAGAGCGCACACAGGATATGCATAACGGGATAGTCACGCGGCGGAGCATCAGGCGCACAGGGCGCCGAGCGTCACACCGCGCGCGCCCTTGCTCTCCGACCCCCGTGCACACAAACGCAGCGGAACGCGTCCAACGCACGCCCCCAAAAGGGACAGCGAGGCCGCGACAGCCACGCGCATGCCGTCTCGAGGCCGTACGCCCACTGAGAGAGCGCCCCCGAGGTGACAGGATCGCGTAATGAAGGCAAAGGGGAGAGGGTGAAAGAGAGGGAGGGTCGGTGCGACGATCAGACGGGGCGTGAAATAACGCTGTTTTCATTGCTGTGTCAACGTCCATCTGCGACGGCTTTACATCGGCCTGGTTGTCGATCACATCGCCATGCACATGCGCCAGGGCAGGGAGGGAGGAGGCGTCGGGGTCGCGGTCAGACTGGGGCGACAGTGTTTCTTGCTCACGGGCTCGTCAAAGTCTGTGATGTTACGTCAATCGTCATATCCAGATCCGTCTCCAGAAATCCCAAAGCTGCAGCCATGTGCGTATATATATATATACACCGAGGCGGGGTCGTGGACGTCTCTTTCTCTCCAGTTTCGTGCACCGCGTCTGTTGGTTTATCTAAGATGGTGTACTGTAATATTGCACTGTTTTCTTTTAAGAACAGGAGAGTTAGAAATGTTGGTTTTAAAATGAGCGTAGATTAGTAACAGTTTTTTTTTTTCGTGAAAGACTGCAATAGGCCCAATTTTTGTGTTGTTCTGTGAGTTTTATTATATTTTTTTTTTATATAATTTCAATCTCTTTTTCTCTTTTTTTTTTGAATTTCTTTTCTTCTATTTCTGTTTGTAGAAAGTCTGTTGGAGTTCTCTTGTTTTTGGTTGTTGTTTTTTTTTTTTTTCCTCCTTGTTACCTGTCAAGAAGGAAGTCGCCGCTGTTTTCGGGGTCGGGAAGAAACCACAACGGCTGCCATCGATTGGGGTTGTGCGTGTCAAGCGTTTCGTCATCCGAATAAAGTGTGATGACTTCATCGTGCCAGTCATCTCGTTGCCATTCAATGCGGAGTCGGCATCCGTACTTTTTTTCCACTGGGGCTTCCGGGCTATTTTTTGTTTCCCTTTTGACATCCGTGGCGGGCGAGTTTTCCTTGCTTTTGCCTGCCTCTTCCTCCTCGTTTCTCATGGCGATGGGGTCGATGTTACTTTCCGCCTGTGGGGACGTGAGGACTGCAACGACGGTTCCCAGTGCGTACACGTCCGTCATCCACAGGCGTACCTTCTGCCCTGTCGTTAACGCGTGCGCCCCAATGCGGACAAACGCGTTGGCGTTGTGGTCAGTGAGGGGTGGCGCCTCGGGCATTTCTGCAACGTACATGGGTCCCAGCTTTGGTCCCAAGTACTGCGCAAGAAATGCCTGCACGGCGGTTTCGTATGTGTAATCTGCAACTTCCGCGTCACGTGCACGAACACGTGCGTCCTGTGGCACCACAACGTCCCAGGTGTGTCTATGGCAGTTGTTTCTCTCGTTGATTGCATTCATTTCCGGTGCCGTCTGCGTCCCCTCAATGAATCCGCGTTGGAAATTTGCGAGAGCAACCACAAATGTCCCACCAATGATGACGTCTGTGACGAAAAAGGAACGTAACGCCGTTACCATCTGTGGGTCGTTGCGCTTGGCATCAGCGTTCGTACCGTTGCTCACCTTATTGTGGGAATGCTTTCCCCACACGTAGAGGAGGCCATCGCTTGTCAGCGCTGTTGACATCGTGCCGCGACCTGCGCCGATGCGGTTGATGGTTGCCGGGGCCGCAATGATGATTGGCGTGAGCTGCCCATCACCGTTGCCCATCTTACCAAAGTGATACACCACCGCACCCACCGCAGACGATTCACGCAAGACAAGTGTGTGGTCGTCGCCAGCCGCAATGCCACAGAGCCGCTCAGGGTGGGAGCGTTCAGGGAAACGCACACGCTGCGGAATGAAGGAAGACGCTAAACCACCCAGGCCAAGTTTGCCGTAGGAGCCCTCACCGCAGGTGTAGACCTCGTCCGAGCTGCGACAGACAACATGTCCACGAGCAGCTGCCACTTCCAGAATAACGACATGGTGTCGCACGAACCACTGCACCAGAGCGGGGATCTTCACATTCGTCTTCACCGTTTGAAGCGTGCGTGCATCCATGCGTGCCCCGTCATCGCCGTGGCATAAATGGCCGTACTGTGCCTCACCCCATGAGTACAATTGGCCCTTATTGCTCAAAGCGAAACTTGCATTTCCTGCTGCGTACACTGCCGTGATGTGTGCAAGGCCCGCCACCGGCGCAAAACCAGTCACCTTCGCGGTGACACCAAGTTGATCAAAGCTATTATCACCAGCAGCAAACACAGTGCCCGCAGACGTACAAATAATTGTATGTTTATTGCCACAGGCGAGTCCAGTGACGGTGTTACCCGCCGACAAAAGTTCCTCAAAATGAAGCTTTGTAAGTGTCGTTGTGTACTCCGGCACCCGGTGGCCCAACTGCCCGCAGTGGTTGCTCCCCATGCCGTAGACAAACCAGTTCATGTTGTCTTGAGCACACGACACCAATGGTGAAGGCATCGCAGCCCCCGCTGCCACATCGTAGCTGTGTTCCACAGACGCCAACACCGCCACCAGATGCCTCTGTCCGCACGCCAGTAATTTTCCTACGATACGCCGCGCATCAATAAGACGTAGCCTCTCGCCTTCCGCATCATCCGCTTCATAAACGTTGTGGACATGACTGCCGCCGTCGCCCACCATGGCGAGGGTGGGGGGCACATACAGCGGATATCGCAGCGCGGGCCTCTTCTCGTGTTCCACGAGATTCGGCGTCTGAAAGTTGTAACTTCCCCAAAAAAACATCAGAATCCACCCAATTATTCTTTTTGGTTGTTGTTCTTTTTATTACTACTCGCTGCTGCCACCACCACAGACACACACGTCACCCCAAATTATGTACATTTTATACACATGGACATTTACCCACATGTGTTTGTGCAAAAAAAAAAAAAAAAAAAAAAAGAAGCTGTTGGTGGTGGTGGTGGGGAAAACAACAACAAAAAGAGGATTTGACTGCAGGAGCAACACACACGCACACACAGAGAGAGAGAGAAAAAAAAAGAAGGCGACAAGAAAACATGACCCAAACAATCATTTTTATTATTTTGTATTTAATTTCTCGATTCCCATTTCTCCCCCCCCCCACCCCCCCTCTTTTTTTTTTGTGTATTTCTTTTCTCTTTTCTCTCTTTTCTCCCTCTCTCTGTGCTCATCCATGACAAAATTGACACCATAAAATACACAACCAAAACAAAAACAAAAAAAAATAATAAAAATAAATAAAACAAAATAAAAAAAGGAGGGCCCAAAACGAGATTAATAAACAACAATACACACCACATACACATCCGTGCACTGAGTGGTAAATATGTGGATGCGGCTTTTAAAGAAACTTTTAAATAAACTACGGCAGCAGCCAAAAATAATATATATGTTTTTCTTGTTTTTTGTTTTTTTTATATATTTTGTGTACTTTTCATGCAATGTATGTAATTGGCTTCACACCAACATCTGCAAATCCCCTCACAACTGCTTCCCTGCTTACACAAACAGGGAGGATCATGTCCATAGCGTGGAAGGCACAAACAAACCCACACAAAGACACATGCACACATCCGACTGCATCAAAAGGAAAGGAGGGGAAAAAAAAAAGAAAAAAAAAAGAAAAAGAAAAGAAAAGAAGATGCCTGTGGTAAACACCACATGCAAACAGAAAAAAATATATATAAAATATAAAATATAAAAATAAATAAAATAAAAACATGTGCGTGTACTGTCTCTGACCAAAATGCCACGTGAGATTTTTCCTGAAAAGTTTGCCTCACAACACTCCGTGCACCGACAACGTTGTCGTTCACGTCCGTTGCGGCGACGAGTAAGGGGCATGCATGCTGCCTGTGAAGGACCAGGCCGCCTCGGACGTCCATTCGTTCATGATTGGTGTCGTCGTGACCGTGACTGACGGGATGTACACGTGGCGGATGTCGTCGTGCTCCGTGGGCCGCTGCGCCCCTCTTCCTCCGCCTCCTTCGCCTCCTCCTGACGTCGCCTCCGGCGCAGGCATTGACGATACCGACGGCATCCGTCGCGTCACCGTCATAGACCCGTCCAGTTGGTAGTAAAAATGAAGAAGCGGCATCGTTAGCAACCCTCTCAAAGCACCGTTCCCCTCCGTCCGTGCGTCTCTCTCTCTCCCGTCGTGTAATATCAAAGCGATGACAACAAGTACGGAGTTGGTATCAATAACCAAAACAAAAACAAAACAAAAAAAAAATAATAATAATGACTGTTCTTTTTGTTGTTATTATTATTAGTTGGCTTTCAATAACACAATAAAATACACACACACACAAATGACGGAATGGCGGACGCTTAGAAATCACCACAACAACGCACGTCAAAAAAAAAAGAAAAAAGGGTAATAATAAATAAATAAATAAATAAATAAATAAAAGGTAGGCAGAGCGATAGTTTTTTTTTTCTTTTTTTTTTCTTTTTTTCCTTTTTCTTTCTTTTTGTGTGTGCGTGTTTGTGTGTGCGTGCGTATTTCTTACTTTTCTTTGTTTGTTTGTCACTCACCGATGCTTGTTTGTACTTACGGTTCCGTGGCTACTCCGTCCCCGCTTTGAATGACTTTTAAAAAGACGTTATTTGTTGTAATGAATGCGTAACTATATGAATGTACGTGTATGTCTGTGTGCACGCTTTGAAAAATAAAAATAAAAATGGAAATAACAACGTTTAAAGGAACACGCATGGAAATCGGAAATTGACAGTGATACATTGTAGCAGGTACACAGAATTCATAGGCGCATATACATAAAAAATAAATTTAAAAAGGTAAATAAAAGGCATAAAATAAAACGTACAGAAACACCACTGTCACTGAATAAGGAAAAGAAAGCCTAAGTATTTATGTTGTACACATCCATTTCCCACCTCTATTGTGTCGCTACCGCAGGAATGGGAGTGGAAGCAATAAAGACTTTTGTGTAGGCCTCCTCAGACTCACTCAACAGCCCCTCCACCATGGAGATATCACCGTCACCGCCATTATATCCACACACCTGCGTTATCAGATGTGCCAGCTGCTCACAACTTGCCGCATTCCAAACCAACTCGCAACCCGCTGCCGCTGTCAGAGACGCAGTCCACTTCGTAGACATCGTGCCGCCCTCACCGCTTCGCATCTCTCGTGCTGGACTTTGTGCCGCCACCCCGTAGCTGTCACGTTGCGGTGGCGGCGGCAGCAGCAGTGTGTGGTAAGCATCCGTCTCCAGCAGCATCCGTCTCTCCCGCAAGAGAAACGGCAGCGTCTTCTCCGCAAAATCCTTCACCCGTAAACTCGTGCTGGCACCCACGCCAAAAAATATGCGGAGCGGCTCCCTCTTCGTCGCCAACTGACCCCCACCCGTTGAAGTTGGCCGTCGCTTTCGTATCATCATCGCCGACCGCGCAAAGTCCATGGAGCCGGTAAATCCGTGCAGCACAATGGCGGGCGGCGTGTCCTCGGCGGGAAGCTCCTGCAGTGTCTGCAGCATCCTCCCAAAGCTGCGCACGCAATGCACAGAAACGGGGCGGCCATATTTCGCCGCCAACTTCAACTGCGCCACGAAGAGCGGGAGTTGCGCCGACTCCGGTGGTCCCCGCAGTTTGTCCAGTCCAATCTCCCCCACTATGGCACTTGGATGACGTTTCAATGCGGCTTCAAGTAAACATAAAAGTTCCTCCGCGCTCCGTTCGCCTTCTTTCTTGTCGTGCGGGCACCCCACGGCAGCATCGGTGCCTTCCGGAGCAACCGCTGAATCCGCCACCATGCAGGCAGGGTCATTGGGCACGAACCACGGGTGAATGCCAAACCCTGGGATGACCGTAGGCGATGCTGTCGGTTCCGTCGTGGTGTCAAAAGTCGGAGACATTCGCAACTGCGACGAGTGAGCCACCGCCACGGATGCCGCCACGGTGTCCCAGTCAACATCGGGGTGCGTGCCGCACACCACAGCGCGCACTATGTGGCACATGAATGGGAGCTTTTTTGCATCGTCTGTCGGTGTCTCCTCTGGAAATGAGGCCGCCGTCCTCACATGGCAGTGGGAGTCGGTAACTGGGAGAAGACGCAGTACCCTTCCCGATGCCTGCGCAGCCATCGATGCGTGAAGTAAAAAAAAAAATGCTCCTACAAAAAAAAAAAAAAATAAATAAATAAAATAAAAATAAATGAAAAAAGAAACTAGAAGCCAAACCAAAAATAAATAAAAAGAAAACAAACAAACAAACACATAAACACGCACGCAAACCATTTACTTCCTTTCATTAGACGCAAGTCGTCACGTGTACGCTTCTTCTTTCGTTTTTTTTTTCTTTTTTTCCTCTTCCTCGCCTACAGTGTGTTTGCGCTCTCACACTCCGCTGATTTCCTTTACGTGAGTGCGGCTGCGACAACAGCCATATAAATATAATGAAAAAAAAAAAGAAAAAAAAAAGGAAAAGGGAGCAGTCGAGAGCGCACCTAAATGCAATAACGTCGCCCCGTCATTTCCGTCGGCCTCCTGTAAGCATGTAAACCCCTTGTCTTCTTTTTGGTTGCTGCTATTGTTTTCTTTGTGTGTCTTCGGTCACTCTTCGTTCCGCCTCCCTTCCTTCCCCCTTCGATCCTTTTGATCCCTCTATGCACTTGTATGTATGTATGAATGTATGAATGCATCCTTACTCGTCTGCCAGTGTGGGGTGTGCACGTATCGTCATCGTACACGCGGGCATGTCCGCGTGGCTTCTTATTTTTATTGCCACTCTTCTTTGTCCCCCTTCCTCTCCCCCCAAATTTCTTGACTAGCTGCAGGACTCCGTTCGAGCCCGTTTTGCCTCTGGCTCACCGATGCTACTCGCCCCACCTCGCTCCCCCGGCTGTTGTTGTTGTTGACTCATGGGCTGTTTGGGCTTCCGCCGCGCCACGACATGATGCACCGGCTGACTGTTCGACGTCTCCGAGCCGCGGCCGTTCACTTGGGGAGGAAATAGCGAAAGCGACATGCTGTTGCTGTGCTCATTCCACTGCACGGGGTTTGTCAAGGACTGCGGCATCGAGAGTGCCGAGTACTCCGGCTCCCCCGGCAGGCGCGAGACATACGGATGAGTCTTGCGGCCCCCCTCCTCATTCCCCGCGTCTTCACCGTAAAACTCCTGCACCGTCGGCAATTCCTCTGCCTCCTTCACGGCAAACTGGGCCTGGATGCATTCCTGCAGCTCCTTATACTTGCCACCCTTCATCTCCCGCGCGTCCTCCCGCAGCTCCTCCAGCTCCTTCACAAGCTCCGCAGGAATCGCATCGGCGGGAAATGATGCCAACTCATCCAGCGCCGCTTGAAAACGCTCCTCAGCCCCTTCGAAATCCCCTTCCTTCATGTAGCAATCCGCAATGCCATACAGCACGGCGGCAAGTCTACGGTATGGAAGCATTTGCGGTGCCTCTTCTTGAATAAAGCGGTATGTCATCAACTCACTCTCGTACTCCTTCAGCGCACTGTCAAAGTCCTCGCGTTCCACCTGAAGCTGCGCAATGCTGTTGTGCACCTCGGCAAGGTGGAGCTGCACCTCAATATCCTCCTCCCCCCGTTCCTGTTCTTGTTTCTGAAAGCATACACGGGCAACATCAAGGTTGATAAAACACGCTTCAAGAGCATCTTGATCAAGTGGCTGCAACGCCGCCTCCACGGTGCTCTTGGACTGCAGGACACGCAGCTGAGAAAGGCCGTAGTCAAGAAAGTACACCCCGCAAATGGGGGCGGTTGCACCGTACTTTTTCTCAAAATGTCGAACAACTCGATATTGAATGTCCAGCGCATCCTCGTAGCGGTGATTGTTGTAGTGAGCAATGCCAACTGCACGTGCCTCGTTGGCCTCCTCGTCTGTGGCGAATGGAGTTGTCTCTTCCTCTTCTTCGTCTTCGCCGTCCACAACACTGGCGTCGTCATTGTCCTCTTTACATTCGTCTTCGCATGATGACGATTCCTCTCCCTCCTCATCGCTCCCCGGGGCGTCTGTTTCATGGCGATCCCGTGGTTTTTCCTCCTCTTCCTGCTGTTGCTGTTGCTGGCGCTGCAAGAGAAAGTCCGCCTCTCTCCCTGCCCTGACGTCGGATGCACTCGGAGTGGCCTCGTCCTCCCTCCGTTCACGAGAACTCCGATCCGTCTGTCCTGACGACTCCATCGACCCCTCCCTTCTCCTCTCCTCTCTTTATTGACGTCCTTTTGCGCACTCACACGGAGGAGAACCGCTGAACGCTCGTCCCTTTTTGTTCTGTTTTATTTTTATTATTTTTATTATTATTCCTCCTTCTTTCCTCCCCCTTTTTAAACTTCCCCGCACACACACATAGAAAGACAAGAAAAAAGAAAAAAAAAGTAGAAGCGGCAAATAATACCCTCACGTATCCCCTCCCTCCCTCCCTCCCTCCCTCTTTATCCACCCATCGCCTCTATAAAAATCCCTCACCCCCTTACCTGAAGTACCATTCATGCACACATGATACATATATGCATACATAAACAGAAAGGAAGGGGGAAAAAAAGAAAAAAAGAGAGAAAAGGAGGAACAAAAATAAAAATGCCGACATTTCATAAGCCCACCAACACCAACACTACACACACACAAAAAAAAAAAAGGAAGAGATGCACCGTGACTCACAAAAATGGGAATCCATATTTGATCGGCCACAACTTCTCAAAAATAAAGCAAAACGGCCAATGCGAGTAAACGCATACAAGAAGAAAAAAAAAAAAGAAAAAAAAAAAGAAAACATCATCGTGTTAACCATTTAATAAATATTCGTGCACTGGCGGTAAACACATACACATACACATACACACATACATATATATATAAAGTCGACCTTGAGTAGTATACATTGACGGAGCACTCCTGAATGAATGGAAAGACACGCACACCAAAAAAACACAAAAAAAACACGCAAACACACACACTCTCTCTCTCTATCACTCTCACTCTTTGCAAGGCATAGCACCAACGTAGTCCGTCAAAGCCCACCGAAAGGAAGAAAAAAGAAAAGAAAAAGGAATAAAAAGTGATGCGGGCAAGTAAAACGTGGGTATTAAGGAAAATTTTTCTGTTTGTTTTTCTTTTTATTATATATATATATATAATCTGTTTACTGTTGCTTTTTATATTTTCATGCCTAATGTTGTCTAATGTTAAGCTGCACTCGGTTTGCAGGCGGTCTCGGGGTGACAGTCGAGTGGATGCTTCGCCTCACCTCTCGCAGTGTGCGTTCAATGCCGCCGTAGTCTATCAACTGTGCGGAGGCCTCGTTCCCCACACCGCAGTAGTCTAGGAGCGCCAAGACACATGCGCGACCCACCTCGGCGCTCTGTGAGAGAATGCATGGGGTTTCAATAAAACAAAACGGTTCATCTTTGGATGCCGCATTTTTACTACCACGTTTACCCGCTTTTCCATCACTTTGGCCGGTCCGTTTGGAGATGCCTTGTCGGGAGGACGCCTGTTTCCGCCCTCGTTTCGAACGGGATCGCGTTTTTACCGCTCCCGGAAGTGGCCACGTGCCTTTTTCGCTCTGCGACCTCGTAGCCCATCGCAGTCGTGCTCCTCGAATGTTGGCATATCGTGCCTCCCAGGTGTCGTTATCGCCATAACAGCTCGCTATCGAATAATTTCTATCGTTGACATTGTTTTCATCGTCACCGCAGGCACCGTCAATGTACATTCTATTATTTGAAAAGTGGGTGAGCTCCACGGTGTAGGAGTGAATAAGCCGCTCGCCAAAAAGCACACGCGAACTGCCCTCCTTGCTTGTCATGTGACCTCGCCCAAAGCGACAAAGTTGGTAGGAAAACACGCCTTTTGCATGTAGGCTCACAATCTTCGGAAAAATCATGTTCCAGTGCTGCACCGTATCGGGCAAGCAGTTACCGAACATAAATCCACTAGACTGCGAAGCGTGTGAATGAAAATCCATGTACATAAAGAATCTGTCAAGGTAAGTTTTCTGAAGGTAATCAAAGACTTTTCGGAGTGCAGCTACGGTGGGCTGTATCTGTGGATCCGGATTCTTGTAGCATCGGTTGAGGTTAAAGCCGTTTTGATCAAGCCGGGAATGACCACGTGCGACACCATCTGGATTCAGCATGGGGACAATGTAAAAAATAAAATATTCCCGTACCAACGCCGCGCGTGGGTCACGTGAAAGAAGAAACGAAATAACACCGTGAATACCATGCGATGCCGTCACCTCCCCAGGATGCACCCGCCCGCTAAGCAACACCACCTTCTTCCCCGTTTCAAACCGCCCATACGGGCCCAAAATGGATGGACGGGAAAAATTGTTCCCCTCCTTCTCATGTCGACTGTTGCGTCGGAGAAGTTTTTTGTTGTTGGCACTTGTGATAATGAGCAGGTGCAACTTACGCCCGTCCCGCGTGTGGCACAAAACTCGCTCCTCAAACCGAATCCCACTGATACTCATCTTGACCAACTGATGCCAGTGAGTGATGTGGCATAGGAGGTCGGCGTAGGTGTAAGGAACACAAAAGGCAACATGCACCACATCGCTAGAACGAGGGAGGAGAACAAACGACAATTCCCCATCCTCATCATTGTTAATGGTGCGATACACGCACGCCCCCACCGGTGTCCACAACCGCGGAGAGTTTCCTGCACGCCAGACCGGACGCATTCCATTTCGTGCGTACAATTTCGTATTGGGTTGAATGTTAACGATCCTCAAAGAGATGGCACACTGAGGCCGCACACCTAAAATGGCAAAACGAAACCACAGCCGCTGCGCACATCCAAACTCCGGCCCCAACCATAACGTAAAGGCCGGTTGGCATGGTGTGCCCTTCAGCCGCTCTACACGTGCCAAATTCCCGCCCTCAAGATCCGAAGAAAACACGAGGCCTTCCCCGGGAAACTGAAACACACGCTGGTGTGATAGGGAGGCCGTGCCGAGCACAACACTCACCTGTCTTTCCCAATTTTCTACAAATTCCGCTGCATCACCAAAATGGGGAAAACGCTCCAGCACCAATGCCGCAGTTTGTCGGATTGGATGCCAGTCTGGCGAGAAATAAGGCTCTACGTTATCATTACCATCATTACCACTGCTGTTCTTATTCTTATTCTTATTATTATTGCTTTTATTCGCACTAAAGCGTCTGTGAACATCGGCCCATGCACAACAGGAAAAAACAACCGCTAAAACGTACTCCTGCTCAGACAGCCAACGTTCTGACTCTAATGGATGTAAAAACAAAGTGGAACCACCTGTTCGTGCATACTTGTTACAGGGTTCCCCATTTAAAACCCAACGGGACGAACGTACCCGATTAGCACCACCATTACCACGGTTCAATTCCTGCGGCGCGTGTATAATGGGTGATCTCATCTGCCCAACTGTCATTCCTGAAAGTAAATCCTGCGACGCCTGGTCTCCATTTGGCATCAATTGTTCATATCCCATCAGTCCAACATAATCCAAGCACCGTGCAAGAACAAAGTCATCAACAAGCCAAACCTTTTTGGCATCATCCAGAAAAAAGGCATTGTACAGACTCATGGAACGGCACGTGGCATCAGAAATACCCTCGGCTATGGTTCGTCGAATGGAACGACGATGAACCGTCCCACCACGCGTTTTCGCCTTCATAAAGGTTTGTCCTCTCAACAACCTCCGTCGTACCGATCGACTACGAAGGGAAGAACGAGAATTGTCAATTGAAATAACTTCGGCATCCAAGGCCTTTTTAGGTGAGGAATGCAGAATAGAGTCACAGGTGGAAACCTCGCTTTTACGGCCCTCCCACGGTGTGTCTGTCGTCTGAGTTTTCTCCATGTACCGGTGCACCGCCTTCTCCTCCGTTTCCTCGTCATACGGTGTGTACCGTTCCAAATCATTCCCTTCAAATGAAAAAAGAAACGCATTATTATTTCCTAGTGACTGTTCTCGATCCTGATTTTCCTCTAACGTCTGCTTTTTTATGCCACGTTTTTCCTTGTTACACGGCGTATGCGCAATACTAGAGTTCAAACTAGAACACTCAGATGGAACCCTCTGGTTAGACGGTTGATTACCATCCACGCCAATACCTGCATCAATTTTGACTGGCTGCGGCGATGGCGCCTTTCCTTCCACGTGCTGCTGTGATGCATCCCTCATGCCGTTATTGTTTCTCGTCCTACGCGGCGTTGCTGCCGCTTCGCCTGGTGCTGCTGCTACTGCTATTGTTGTCTCGTCCACAGCAGAAAACGCAAGATCATACGATGGCTCAGACGCAGGACCTGTTTTCCCCGGTGTTTCCTCTGCCACTGAAGAGGATTCAAAAAAAGGACGCCGCAGCAATCCACTACTACGGCGACGTCGTCCTTCAGCGAAGAGGGAAACATGCAACTCATTCTTCTTTCTTGTGACTGAATGTGATTTCAAAACAACCGGACTGGACGCCATCGCATTGGCGCTCGGATTTCTTCGATTTTGGTTGCTGGCGTTGCTGCTGTTGGTGTTCGTATGTCTCAATTTCTTCGAGGCGGTGTCCATCGTCGTCAGGATGCGTGACGGTATCATGCCCAGCTGGGAGGTGAAGGGGTCAAAAACCTCCATCTTTGCTTCGTCCTTCTGGGCCCTTCTCGCCCCTTTTACCGTGGAACTCTTTTCTAACTTCACCGGCATTAATAACACTTATGTTTGTCTGTTTGTGTGCGTGTGTGCGTAGTTAAACGGCGAAGACTGCAAGCAATGTACAACTCCACGGAAATGACACAATAAAGCCAAACAACAGAGAATTAAGAAAAAGAAAAAAAAAAAAGATCGCAGAGCATGTCTTAATTGGACACATAAAAACACACATGCACAAATAAAGAAGAAAAAACGTAAAGAATTCACTGGAATTCCAGTAGGCACGTGAATGAAATGGTGAGAGAGGGCAAGAAGGACAACATGTTGCCGCAGAGACTAAAAAAAAAAAAAGGAATATAAAAGCATCAATGAATGCGGACCACACCACGGCTCTGCAGGCACACCCTTTTTGTTGTTGTTGTTGTTTTTTGCTCCCTCTCGCCCCGTTTCTTTCGCGGCCGGATATTATTCGTCTCTCCTTTTGTATATATATATATATATATCGTTGTATTTCCCCTCCCCTCACCCCACTCCTGCCATTTCATTTGCGGCGCAGAGAAGCTGCCGTGTAAAGGAAAACAACACGGCAGAAAAAGAAGCAAACGGCACTCATAGACAGCAACAGCGGAATTTCCCCCACACACATACACCCCTCCTTCTCCTCCTACCAGAAGAGTATCATCAGCAGCATACATATGCCAATCACTACGCCCAAAACAAGGGCATCCCTGCGCCGCTTACTGGAAATGCGGCCAAGCACCCTTTTGAGTACAGGGACTCGCAAGGCAATCTGGACGAGCCGATCCTCCATGCGGGCAAACGCATCCCGCTGCCCACGCAACTGATCCCGTGAAGACTCCGCCTGACTCAGAATATTGTTCAAACGTCGCTGGGTGTGGCGCAGGGAGTCCTGCTCTTCCATGAGGAAACGCACCCCTTCCCCCTCCCTGTGGGCCTCCAGATCATGCGTGACACTTGGCAACAACTCTGCCCACTCACGGCGGCGTTTAAAATCAGCAGTAAGACGCGTAACGGCCCGCCGCTTCTCCGCCGCAAGCTGCAAAAACCGTTCGGTGTGACTGTGCGCGGTGGACTCGGGTGGCAGCGCACGAGCCGTTTCCGCCATTGTCTCTAAGAGCGATTCGAACTGTTGCAGCGCCATTTCAACGTCACTGCGCTTCCGGTCAAACTCCCGCTGCGCCACCTCTATCCTCGCCACCGATGACGCGGCCCCATCAGCAGTCGCCCTGGACTCGTAGACGCCAGAGTTCCCACCAAGGCGAGAGATGCCCTCCAGCACGTTGAGTTGCCGCTCAATGACACTGTCCGCCTGACGGGCATCATTCCGCAGAGACTCCCACACACGCAGTTTGCTCTCCATCGGCCACCACAACCGTCCACACGCGGGTGTTTCTTCCGGTACCCACTACGTTCCCTTTGTATTTTCCTCGCGCTTGTTGAACCAACTCCTAACTTCTCCAATTTTCTTTTTTTTTTTTTTTTTTTCTCGGTCTTTCCACCCTCCCTTCGTGTCCTCCTCTTGTCTTTATTGCTCGTACTATCCACCCACTAGCCCTCTTCCACGCTGCTGTCAACACACAATCACGTTGGAAGAAAAAAAAGAGTGAGAAAAAGACGGTAAGGTGATGCAATAATAATAATAATAATAAAACAAGAAAAAAAAAACCCTCATTTATCCACATAAACACGTATACACTAAACAAACAAACATAAAAGGACCGCTCCTCTCCAATGAGACACCGAGGGTGTCACATGTGCATACGGACGCAGATACGTGCGTGCATATCTCCCCAAATACAAATACTAGGCCTACGAAAAAAAACAAAAAAGAAACGTACATTGCAAGTACTGTATAATGGAGAGAGGGGGGGGGGAAAGGAAGGAAAAAAGAAACCGAAAGGTAAAGGAAACAAAAATAAAATTGTTTCGGTTTGTCGTCCTTTACCTTCTTGTCACACTCATGGTTTGCCACATGTTGCCCTCACCGTCTCCTCACAAAACAACCGCAGGTACGGTGGAACTTTGAAATCGCGGTCTAAAAGCTGCAGACGGTAATGCTCAAAAGATGTAATCACGTGCACCGTCTTGGCAGAGTCCGTGGCCACGTCGTACGAGCCAACGCGCCGCAAGTCCGCAGCTAATTTTCTGATTTCCTCCAGCACCTCCGCGGCGTGTGCGACGCACATCGCGCTAAATGAATCGCTGTGTATCAATTCGAAAAAGAAACCCGCCGACTGATCCCGAGCCAGTTGCTCGCAGCGCAGCTCCTCCTCGCGGGCGGCACGTGCCTCTGGACCCTCCTCCGATGAAGGCCCAAACACAGTCTCCAAAAAGGCACGATCCCGCTGCATTCGTTTTGACGCGGAAAAACCATCCGGCAGCACCGCAGTCGATCCCGCAGGGAAGTTAAAGACATCGTCGTCAGCATCTGAATCGGATGAGACCGCATCCTTGTGTTGGATTCCACCGTTGCTCGTCCCCAACGACGGCAGCTGCTCTTGTGTAGAAAATAACAATGCAGACGATGATGGCGACGATGGCTTTGGTGTGAGCCAATCCGACCACATCAGATGGGATTCAAAGTCTTGACTCAACTCATCCAGTAATTCCCGTACATCCCTTCCTGTCACGATGCCGGTCACACTAAACACATGTGGTGCACGATGATTCAACGCGGTCCTTACGGCCTGTATGGCTGCATCCACGCAGCGAGGAATCGTCAACTTCAATATGGCCTCTACAGAGAGACAACGTGGTCCATCCCCTACTCCCATCGTATCCTCATCCATGTTTTCTGCAAAAGGGGACTTCTCCAGGTGTTGTTGTAATTTTTCAACAAATGCCTTCATGATAAAGTTCTGAGTGCCACCTGACCACCAGGAGCGAAGTGTTGATACCACCGTCCCACCGCGTGAGCCCTGTTTCGCCTCTCTTTTTCTCAGAACATAAACCAACACCAACGTCATGTTTTTAATGACATGGAGTGTAATGATCAAACTATGGACGTGCGCCGCAGAAAGAATACCAGCAAGTGACAAAGTGAACAGTTCAAAGAGACCGCTTAACTTTGCCTCGCGTCCAGCAGCAACCCGAACCTGTTCTTTCACAGTGTTGATCTGAAGCCGCTTCACAATGAGATTCTTCGCAAGGCGCTGGTTGGCCCTGGAGGCCATGATGCCTCGGTCGTATCCCTGTGGCAGGTAAGCATCAATGGCGTACTGCACGTCATCCCGGCCAAAGAGTGTCGATCCGTCAGCCTGAGACGCCAAATAACCCACGGCCGTCACTGCAAGAAGTGCCTTCCCCACATACCGCGCCTCCTCCTCAAAGATATCCGTAAAAAACTCTGAAGAACTCATGTTCTTGTCGTTGTTATTGTTGTTGTTAACCCACACACACACACAGAGAGAAAGAGAGAGAGAGACGACTTCCTCCGTGTGCTACACTGTTGCTGCTATTAAAAAATAACTTTCGCTTTACGACGAAAATCCCCTTCTTATCGTCCTGTGTGTCGCCAGCCGTTACTTGTATTCGCTCGGCCACCCTCGTCGTGCACAAATAAGACCTCCGTGAAAGTCTGTGTGCCGGCTTCCGCAGTGACCCCTACTGTTATTATTATTATTATTATTATTGCTGTATGCTGTGAAATCCTTTTCAAAAAATTTGTCGTGGTGTCTTTGGATTAAGCGGCTTTAAACTTCATTTCACCGGCGGTGGGTGTTGTGCGCATAAGTCAACAATTGCAAGACACAAAAACGCAGAGTCGGAGAAAAAAAAAAAACATGAAGGTGTTAAGCCACAGACACACAAACAGAAAAGACGTTTTTTCCTTTTTTTTTTTCTCTCTTTTTTTCCTGTCGAGAGTAAACATCCGCAAAGGGGAAGAACAAAAACAACAACAAAAAAGGGAAAAGGCAAAAGGAAAAAAAAGGGAACTTTGCGTCATCAGCTCATACCTTTGGACTTGATGTCAAATATTTGCATTGTGAGCGCCCCGCTCTCTAGAATTCCCGCAGCGGCATCAGAGGGAAGGGGATGTCGCCTCATTGTCGCCTCGTCCTCAATTTCAATCGTCATGATGCCGTTGGACTCATCCAGCGAGACTTTGTGTGTACGCTGCACCACATTCCCGCGTGATAGTCGCACAGAGCCAGCAGACGCTTCCCAGTGGGGTCGCAACGGATACGACGGCGCCGCAAGCTCTCGTCCGCCGTCATCTTTGCCGCGGACGGCGGAGGTGTCGGGATGCACCTCCACGATTTCACCCGTATCGATCGCCACCAGAATGTTGTGCCACGGGCAACGCAAACACGCTACAGAGGCGGCCGTGTGGGAATCCTCCAAATCCATCAACTCCCCTTCACCCAATGGACCAGAGGCGTGATAGCAAGGGCTGTCGATGGCGTACAGCTTCCCATTGTGCAGCAGAACCGTCACAAAACGGTAAGGATCCTCCAAGAGGAAATGCGCTCGATTCCTCTGCTGTCGGAGACGTTCGTATGACCAGCCATCATACATATTTTTTCGTACCATTTAGTTGCTGTGTGTGTCTATGTCTGTATGTGTGTGTTTTCCCCAACAGCTAAATAATAACAGGAGCAATTAAGATTGGCAGATTAAAAAAGGAAAAAATAAATAAATAAATAAAACGCGTACAACATACATCACCAGTTGTTCTACCTCCCTTTCTCTTTCTCCGCGTGTGCGTAAGTGACATTTCGCCAACCGCCCACTCCACCCTCTTGCACAGATTGGCCGATTATTGCTCTTTTTTTTGGGGGGGGGGTTTGGGTGGGCAGGCGCAATGACGCTGGCATCGTGGACGCGTCCCGCATTGGAAGTGAGGAATTCTTCTGTCGGGTAACAACAAGACCAACAAGAAAAAAGGAAGAAGTGGGAGGGACCTCAACTGTGAGATGGCGCGGTTCCGTCCGCCTGTCCGTTCACGTGCACACAGACACGCACGGAAATGTGCGGGGTAAAAAAAAACTGCGCCCCGCCCCTTCTCGTTCATTTCGCCTCCATTTTTTTTTCTTTTTCTTTTCCCTTGCCCTTTCAGATTTCCGCCCCCGTTTTTTTTTCGTTTTTGTTTTTGTTTTGTTTTGTTTTTTGTTTTCTCACTCCTTTTTTTTTTTTTAATGCCTTCATTTCATTTCGTTTCCGTATCCGTCTGTTTTTTGGGTTGTTTTTCCTTCACGTGCGGCCGTGACAACCCGTTTTTATTCGCTTTTCTTCTCTTCTGAAGGCGCATCAGCGGGCTTTGCCGGCTTTCGTGTGAGAATCTCCACATCCCAGTGCTCGTTGCTAAAAACATCGATCTCCGTGGCAATGCGCATCGCCTTGCGGGCAATTTTCTCTGCGTCGTAACCGTCCACGTCAATCAATGCACGTGCCGCCGCCTTGGCAAACGTGCCCCCCGACCCAATCGCCACAATACCGTCGCTCTCAGGCGTGATGACGTTCCCCTGGCCGTCAATTTCCAGCGTCTCCTCGCGGCCGCAGACAATTAAAGAGGCCTCCAGGCGGCGCAGCGCGCGGTCGGTGCGCCAGTCCTTCGCCAACTCCACTGCAGCGCGGGTGAGTTGCTGGGGGAACTCGCCGACTTTGTTCTCAAGCTTCTCCATCAACGCAATGGCATCCGCCGTGCTACCAGCAAAGCCAATCACAATATCATCGTTAATTTTCCGCAGCTTGCAGGCGCTGGATTTGGCCACAATGCGCTCTCCAAGCGTCACCTGACGGTCGCCAATAAGCACGACGGTGTCCCCTTTCCGCACCGAAAGAATGGTCGTCTGGCGGGACTGACATGCCGTAATGAAGGAGGTGTGTCGAGCGATACGACGAAACATGTTCCTGCTGCTGCTGCTGTTGCTTCTTTTTCTTTTTAAGATGCCACAAAAAGACACGCAGAAAGAGAAAGAGGGTGCGGTTCGACAACAACAACAAAAAGGAGACAAGCATAAACACAAATGCACAGAAAAAAAAAAAAGGGAAAGGGCATATGCAATAACATATTCTCGTGCCGCGTTATGCCTTTCCTGTCAGGAATCTGCAAAGCCGTACCTTTGCATAAGTGTCGGTGGAGCAAATCCAACAAGGGAAAGGGCCGAAGCAAAGAGAAAGAGAAAAAAAGGCATTGGCGTCACCAAAGTGGCCTCCTCCCCTACACCATCATGTAAGCATCGCTGTCTTTACATACTGGCAAGGCACACACACACCCAAAAAGATACGAAACAAGAAAAGACATAAATACTTGCTTTCAAAGATTTTATCACCTTCATGTTTCTTTTCTTTTTAAGTGTGTATTGCTTTCTTTTCTCTTTGCTTGACCCACTTCATTTCTTTAAGGTTTTCGTTTGTTTTCCCTTGCTCTGCCTCTGTCCGCCACACGTCACATCCAATTGTACAAACCGCATCCCTCTCTCTCTCTCTTTCTCTCTCTTCATCCTCTCTTGATATATCCCCTACTGTCCCCATGCGCAACAGGCATGGCAGTCTTCTCTACTGCCCCCGCAGCAGCAGCAACGACAGGAGCGGCGTTGTATCAGTCAAGCGGCACCGTGAAGAGCTTGAAAAAGGGATGTGTCTCCAGGAACGTGTACAAGCGCTCCCAAAAAACAGAGGCCTGAAGAATGTGCGCATGCGATTTGACAACACGACGCGTCAGTGGGAGTGGCTTAACGTGCCATTGTTGCAATGCCTTTGGCAGCTTTTCCTCCTCCAGGTACGGCAGGAAGCCACAGAGTCGCTGGAATAATTCACTCACGGGCACGGGGGCGGGTTCGTTGGGAAACCAACCACGAAACTGCCACTCGTTCCCATCCACGATGCACGCACACACATGCTGCCAATTTTTTACCTGCTGCGGATCATCCACCACACGAAACATTTTATACGCCACGGTGTACTTTTCCGTATCCAAAAAGCTTCCAGGGGACACAATGACGGTGTCTGGCTTGTTTTCCTGCACATTTACAGCCCCCGTCTCTTCATCCACAAACAGTGTCGGTGGGTCAATGTAGACGCCACGCTCCAAAAACTCTCGAATGTTAAAAAGCTGCAAAAGAGATGAAACGGATGCCGGAACAAGAATGGTGGGGATAAAGTCGGGCTGACGGTGTTT